ACCTCAACAAGCACATTGCAATGGGAAGAGAGTAAGATGAAGCAGTTGGAATTTGCTTTAGGGTATATGCTTAATTTTACTCTTAATGTCTTCCTTTAGGGAATTCAACTGTCTCACCAAAGTGAGTGGAAATAAACTGCTGTGCAACATTATGGCATAAGTCTGTTCTGTGGAATATGTTAATGACTTTCTGGTCATACAATCCAGGGAGACAGCTTGTCATGACCTGGACTTAATTGCTGGGGCAGCATGTGCTTACAAACAAGAGAAAAAGCAACAGAATGACAGTGCAGTTGGCTCTCTACTGTATCTCATTACATGCTTGTTTAGGTTTTGCATCTTCTGCATTTATCATTTATAACACACTAATGCTGTTACTGTTTTCTTCCCCCCCCCACCTTCTGTACCTCAATTCCTAGATATTTCCCTGATGGCTTTGCCTCCGTGCCATGCCCTTTGCCAGTTCTATGTTCTAAATGGTGAATTGTCTTGCCAACTCTATCAGAGGTCTGGAGACATGGGACTAGGAGTGCCTTTTAATATTGCCAGCTATTCACTGCTCACGTACATGATTGCTCATGTCACGGGGCTGAAGGTAGGCTATTTAATAATTTTATTTATTCTTGTCTGAGAAATGAGGGACTAAAAGATAAGGCTCTTCATGTCATGCCCAAGAAAAATTGAAATGAGCATACTGTTTGAAATCTTGCTGAAATACGTGTAAAAAAGGGCCCTGTGAAATGATGTGAATTGCCACTGGTTTGTATGGGCAAATCAGCAATGTAAGAATTTTAAAATTCAGGTTAAGCAGAATATTCTTTCATGCCTTGACTGTGTCAAGACTGCCTGTTCACTACTCTTAGAAATCTGAACTGAGTGCTTGTCCTCATGGGATAGTAATGTCCAAGTGATTAGATTGTGTAGTATGGGTTTATTGGAAGTGAACAGTAGCTCAGCACTTTCTGTCAAGGTTCTAATTTGGATATTCTGCCCATCTAACTTCCAGCTATAATTTCAGCTGTGTATTTCTTTGGTTTCCTACTGTAGATGATTATGTAGAGTGTAGTATGTGCTGAAGTAGCTCCTGCTCTGACTTCAGACCTGTATTGTGTAATTTGGCAGAGAAACTTAAATGCACGACGGTCTTGTACAAGGAAAAACCCCTTTTCTTTAGGGCATGTAAAAAATTATACTAGAAAGGCCTTCAGTGCCTAATCCTCCTTCCATCAGCAACATGATGTGGAACTCCTTAAAATAGGCCAATAGGGAAGAATCAGACTTCACAGCAATCGCAGAAATTAGTGCAAGGTACTAAAGAAAGTGAAGTTTAATGTTACGTCCAGCTGTTGCCTCTCAGCCACTTCCTCTCATGGCTTTGGTGGTTGTCAGTGTAACACATCGGAGAGCTGATCAGCATTGGTCAGAGGCCAGTAAAAGAGCTGATGTAACTTCCCCATGTGAAATTCCATTGCTCAGGAGCTGCTAAGTCACAGAACTGCAAGCTCTGGGTGCTTGCCTGTGCCTTACACCTCCACTGCTGTTTGGTAGTGGCTGAGGCAGCTGCTCTGAAGCCAGCTTTGGTGAGTTGTACTTACTAGAAGTGGAGTGGAAAAGCTGGATGTCACTGCTGCACCTTCTTTCTGTCTCAGTGAGCAGATCAGTATTGCCCCATTCATTTACCAAAGCTACTGTCATAGCAGGATTTGAAAGATAAGTTTTTTGGTAAGCTAGTGGAAATTTCATTATATTTTCCATTAATTATGCATTAGTCAGAGAAGCTTGTGCCCTTCACAAATTTCAAGGATACAATCCTGTACAGCAGCTGCAATTCCACACAAGCCAGATGCTGAGAATCAGTGCTGTAAGCATTGTAATGTTTTGCTTTCTTGGAACCTGACTGTTTGAAAACCACATGTATTCTTCATTCTTTTCAGCCTGGGGAGTTCATACACACCTTGGGAGATGCTCACATATATCTGAACCATGTGGAACCTCTAAAAGTCCAAGTAAGTACTTATTCTGTACTCTGTCCTTTTATCTTCCACAGTGCTTATTCAATGCAAAATTACCTTGATATTTTAAATGTCCTTTTGCAGATACTAATTTTTGTGGCCTTTTTTTTCTCATTTCTATCCGAATAACTGTAACATCTTAATATCTGTTCAGGTTGCAAACAGAAATACAAGCATGATTGAAATATACATCTGTGTACTACTCTAAAACCAAGTTAGAGAGCCAGAATCTGCACTTTTAACTTCGAAAATAATTCCACCTAGTCCCAATAATACAAAATAAAATGTCTTTGTAATGTATCAGAAAAGGATCACTTAAAATTCATGGAGTTAATCAGTAATACTAATTGGCTGAGAAAGGCTACATTTTCTTCAGGAAGTAATTTGTTGCAGTAGGATAAAATCAGTGTTTGATTTGATTAGACTAAGCTTGGACTGAATGTCCTCATTATTAATATGGTTCAAAACCATCCAGAAAAACAGTTATTGATTCAGACCCTAACGATGAAAAGTGAGAAGCTGTAGAATATTTGATGCATGTTTGGGTCAGATTTTCCAATTTAATTTCCTCTGAAAGGAATGTAATGTGTAACCACCAGAACTGATCTGCCATCTGAAAGTACTTGCAGTGCATTTGGATGATCAGGGAATTCACCTGAAAATTATGCTACTGCTCTCTGTGAAAGTGCTAAGGTAGATTCTCCCTGTCTTGGGATTTTCTTCAATTTTTTTTTTTTTTTTTAGTGTAAATCTTCTTGGTGGGAAGGGAAAGCCTACATAGTGTAATCTGATTTGAGATTGTGAACACAAAGTCTCTGCTTTCAGTTATTAGCTTTATACAGTAAGCTTGCTTTTATTTCAGCTTCAGAGGGAGCCAAGACCTTTCCCCAAACTCAGAATTCTTCGTGAGATTAAAGACATCAGCGACTTCAAGGCAGAAGATTTTCAAATTGAAGATTATAATCCTCATCCACCTATTAAAATGGAGATGGCTGTCTAATGCTATAAACCATCATTAAATATTAATGTGGAAATGTACCTAAGCTACTTAGTTTCTCTAAAGCAGTGGAGCTTTTGTATACTTCAAAAGGTATTTTCTTTATTATTAAACAGTCACAGACCAGATTTGCCTTCAGTGCTACTACCTTGTAGTTGTACAGGACAGTATGCTTATTCCTGATATACCATGCAGATGTTTAACCCAGTTTTAAGTTGTTAGAGAGCTGCTTTTCTACACATTGTTTCAGTTGCCAGTGGCCATTTCTGTTACCATTCAGTTACTGTGTGTGAGTAGCACGGGTTTACATAGCACAGCTTGATTTGGTACTGAAAATAAGAACTTGTATGTGTGATAGAGGATTCCTTCAGGGCAGGAGAAATTGTTAAATATATTCTAAAGAGTGTATGTTTAATAAAGTTTTTTTAAAAAATCTTCTGGAAGGCATGATGCATATTTAATTCTGGTGTGGTTTTTTATAGTTAGTAATAAAAAAGGGTTGGAAAGCAAAATGTCTTGGAGGGTAACATCTGGCAATAAAAAACACACTTCCCATAGTCTTCACAGATGAACCATCAGGAAGGCAAAAGATTTTAATGGAACCTTGCTGGAACTGCAATCTCTGCATAATGTTGCTGGGGTTTTTTTATTCCTCAACCCTAAATTACTAAGTTGATATAAATCAAAGAGAATTGCAGTTAAACAGAGGTTACCAGATAATATTAGTAATCAGCTGTCTGTCATCATTTAAAACCAGATCCCACAAATATATGGACTAATTTTGCAGCCTGAAGCAGTAAAACCTATAGTTCATAGTATTTTTAGGAATGGAGTTCATTAATTAAATTCTAGCAGAATTCAGCTTTCAAGTCTCCTTATCCTTGTACCTTCTGCAGTAACACATTAAATTCCTCTTCAGCAATTTAATTGTGAGTAGATATGTGGTTAATATTCATAGGATAGGCAATACATATTTGAACATGTAGAAAAACGCATAGTAATTTTTTGAATTAAATTTTAAAGTCAATAAACTGGTAAATATTGGAAAAGTGTACAATTTCAGATAATTCTAAGAATTTAATAATCAGTGTGCTTTCATTCAGGGTCCTGCATAAGAGGACCATTGAAACTTTCTTAAACCAAACTGATCATAACTTTGAAAATCATACTTTGTATAAAATTTTTTTGCATATGTCATTATGCTGATTTTCCTTCTACTGATCACTTATATTGAGACTAATTTTTTTGTAGCACAAAAAGTTATTTTCCTTTCCTGACATTTAGCCCAACACAAGAAGATTGCACCAAAAAATAATCTCTGCCTGTTGTAAGCACACCAAATGTAAAGAGACCACTGCTCATTAGAAGGGTTCTTAATAATTTTCACTGTGGTGCATTATTTGTGAAGAGAGATGATCAGACAGCTCTTTCAGCTTAGATCCTGTGAGAAGCCTGGAATGGTCAAACCTCATCCTCTTCTGGGGCTGCATTAAATGGACGCTCAATAGCCAGCCTGCAGTTGAACACACTTGGGTCTTCTCTCAAATCATCAAACTCACAGGTAGTAGCAGCATTCTTCTTACCACACCTGAGAGCTTTGTCACATGCTTCTCCTAATAAATTTCATCTCAGCTCTACTAGTCTGATATTCTAAAGTCACTTACTTCAGATGGTCCAGGTGTTATCTTTTCATTAATGGTATGTCCCAGGTGTAGTTGTCAGCCACTTCTTACCATGTGCATACTTTTATAAATTAAAGGTTCTTCAGTGTTCCTACAGCCCTTTAAAGTACAAGGAAACAGATTAAGCTGCACATTCACTTAACAGTTCTGCCTACACTTAGCAAGTAAAGTTCCTTCTGCTGGAATCCACTTTATGTAACACTGCAGATAAGGTGGATTCTGCAGGACATTTTAGCAAGTGTAGCCAGACAGGATGTGACATAAAGCTGGCCTCAGGGCTTTACTAGTGGGAATTAGCAGTCTCAGTGGTTATCCAGGACAGGAATACCTAGCCAAGAGAAGAATTCAGAATGGGAATCATTTACTTCATAAATTGCAGAGGAGTTAGGTCTATGGACATACATAGCATACATAAGCAGACCAGTCTCTATAGCTCGGGAAGAGTTCCTAGTTTTTAGTATAGGAATTAATTACAACTTCACTGTTTTTCCTTTATCAGTGCAATTGACTACCAACAGCAGTTGGAGTGAAGCTTGTACCTTGAAGACCAAGAAGGTTTATGGTGCTCAAAAGATCAGAAAGATGTAAAAAGCATTTCAACAGCACACTTTAATGTGAGTAAAAATAATAATACATTTTAAAATTCGTAGGTATGAGAATTCTAGGAGCTTTCATGAAAAAATATGAATATTCAAAGAATTTTAATATATAGAGCTAAACAGGAGGTACTCTAGGAATTTTGATTTGCAGAATCAAATTTGAATGATTTGCAGAATTGCTCATGCTGCAAAGATGATTACTATGACCGCAGGCCATATTCAGAGCAGTATTTTAGACAAAACATGGGACATTGCTTGATACTTTCAAGAGATGTATCCTTGTATCGTTTCTCCACTTTCCAAGGGCCATTCAACAACTCAGAGATAGCAATGAAATTTCTTACCACTTTGGTCAAATATCTACTCTACTCCACTTTCTTAGACAAGTTTTGTAACCCATTCTATTTCTGACATGTTATGGTATGTTGCAAAATTTGCCTTACTGCAGTACCACAAAGAATATTAGTTATCTGATTATGGTAGATGAGGGGTCAAAAAAGAAAGAACTGCTGAATTTTTGAGACAAACATTCAGCCATCAGAATCAAGTCTTCTAATGAGCCTGACTTGGTGAGTTTGTCACCATAGTGACTGACACCTGTGAAGTCTGAATGTGGAATGCAGCCCAGGCTTCAATGCCTTTATTAAAACCACAAACAGTTCACATCCACCTGCTTGAAGTTTAACCCACCCTCCTAACTTCCCTTTGCAACCCACAGGAAGGTGAGCTTGTGGGGTAACAACACCAATACATGCTGTGGCCACCATGTAGCAACATGTTTTTTAAGGGAAAAAAAAGAGCGATCACCATAGTCAGCTGTGACTGGAATTTTTTTATATAACTAACCTGTTTTCAAGCCTTTCAGATACTTGGATATGATCAAACATGATCAAGTGCTGGACTAATAGACAGAGGCCCCCAAATCCAGACTAGAGATGACTGCCACACTGGGACATGCAAAACCTTTCAGTGCATAACATGAAACAAAAAAAGTTACAACAGTGATGCAAGCTTATGCTCAGAAATCACAATCATGAGAGCTGAAGAAACTAATCAGACTGCCTTGAAGGATGGGGAGAGAAAGATTTTCTCATTGCTGCTGCATTTTGCAGAGCCTTTCTCTGGAACTTTTTGGCCATCAGCAGCACAGACAAGCTTTCATTCACACTTCCCAGCCTGCATCTGTCAATTTGGAGACAACTCAAGGCCCTGGCTTGTAGAAGATGTTTAAATATCACTCTGTTGTGGCAGTGGAAGGGAGAAAATGGAAAGTTAAGATCTGGAGACTCCCAAATTAACATATTAGGAGAGCTGCTGGCAACTCATACAAAAGCATTTGTACAGTGTCCCTCCTGTGTGTGTGTCTCTATAAATCCAAATAATTTACATTTAAATGAGAGATCACATGAGAATTTGAATGAACTTCAAGGATGTTGTCAGTATTAAAAATCAGCTTATACTTGTAATATCAAGAACACTACACCTGACACAATAAACTGAGATACACTGAATAAAAATCAGTGTGTGCCAAAGGGCATAGTTGTACTGGACTGAGTTTGGAAATTACTGCCACTTAACTGGATGTTGAATCCTGCAAGTGAAAGTGAAGTGAAAATGCCAAGTGAAAATGGCTGCTCCATTCCAGGCCACAGACATTGGCTTAATGTGCACAAAGGCACACAGAGCCTGTAGTGAGACAAATATATTGTCTCAAATATTATGTAATGCTCACACAAACTGATTGGGTAGCTCTCCCAGATAATTGCTTCACACACTCCCTCAAAATCTTTTTAGCATGTAGGCTCCTTTGGGAGCCAACTAACACCCCTCTGGTCATCTAACTGTGTCCAGAGGCAGGAACCAGGGGCACTCTGGGGACAGGATTCAGCATGCCTGGGACTGCACAGCTTTGGGATATGAATGCTTGCCTATGTGAATGAGCAGCTATTCCCATTTTGAGGCACCTAAAGTGAAAATAGCAGTGATTCTGCTGTAGGAAATCATTCTTCCTCCTGGAGACCAGTCCAGCCAGATGAGACATGGCCTTGTAGCTGAGATACAGTTGGATAAGAGTCAGGATTCAATTTCTAGCTGTGCTACAGATTTCCTGTCTGGAGCTGGACTAAGTTGTTCTGTCATTTCAGGCCTCATATTAATTTCCTGTGTTTGTAGTACAGATAATTGTATTCCCCTTATTCACATGGGAATTCTGTGGATAAATACATTAAATGCTTATGTGGTTCTCTATGCTATGGTGAATGCTATGGTGAAAAGAGAAAGGCTATATAAAACATCCAGTAAAGCAAAAAATCAGGACTGGCCTTTAATTTGTAAAGCAAGGCAATACTAATGGGTCATTCAAACCCATCCTACTAGATATTCATTATAAAACACTCCCCTTTGCAAATAAAGTGCCCTATCTACTGGTAGACAACAGCTGAGAGTGAGAAGTAAAATTAAATATTTTAATAGCAGGGCTTGGCATGAGAAACTGGCAGCAGAGAAATTATGCTAATGTCATCACTGTTGTTTCCAGTTGCTGCAGAGAACCAAGAATTTGTTAATTCACATTGTTTGGCTCTGTAGATTTGGTGTCAATACTTGGCAAAAAGTTGGGGGAAAAAAAACTAATTTCCTTTAATCTGGAGACTGGTATTCTGAAAGGTATCAGCCTGTCTGCTGACACCTTGCTATTCGTGATAGATCTGGGAGTTAGTTCTGGTCTTTGGACTCATTAAAAATATTTCATGCAAAAAGTATTTAAATATAGCTGATGGCAGTGATTTACTACTAATGCTAGCAATGAGTTTCCTTAGGGGAAAGGACAGGTTGCACCCTTTTAAAATAGCTGCAAATGTACCAGACAAGTTCCTCTTGAGCCCAGACAAGGCACCAAGTGCACTGACAGACCTCACTGTGACCAGTCTCACCTGGGGCTCACACCTTCTGCCCACGGGCCTTAGTTTCTACCTGGGTTGCATGGCAGGTGTACCTGCCTCCAGCTGTGCTACAGCTGTGGACGTGTCTGGCCATGGAACAACACCCCATCCTGGCTGGACACACACCCTGGGCCCTGTCTGACCATGGTTCTCCTCACTCCTAGCCTCTGCTCATCCCCATCCCCGGGGAGATGAGGCTGGGGCCACCTCATTGCCCCCTGCCACTCCTGGGAGGACTCTGCCCTGCTGCCCCCATGGGGCTTCCCGACAGCTCCCAGTCCTTGGGAGCAGCTGGTCCCATGGCATCCTGCCTGCCAGGCATCTCAGGCTGCCTCAAGGCCTGAGCCAGCCGTGCAGAGCCAGGCCTGCAGCTGCACAAGAGCTCTGCACAAGCAGAGTTTGCCCTACAAACCTGGCCTGACTCTGGGCTCTGACCCTCTCTTGTGGTTTAACCCCAGCCAGCAACCCAGCCCCAAGCAGCCGATCGGGGTCAGGGCTGGGCTTGGAAGGGGAAAAGCTGGAAAATTCATGGTTTGAGATATAGACAGTTTAATGGGGAAAGCAAAAACTGTGTACACAAACAAAGCAAAACAATGAATGAATGAATTCACTGCTTCCCATGGGCAGGCAGGTGTTCAGGACAGCAGGGACCCATTACACATAATGATTACTTGGAAAGGCAATCGTCACCACTCCAAATATTCCCCTTCGTCCTTCTTCCCCCGGCTTTATACACTGAGCATGACACCACATGGTCTGGAATATCCCTTTGGTCAGTTTGGGTCACCTGTCCCAGCTGTGTCTCTTCCCAAACTCCCAGGCACACCCAACTTCCTTGCCAGCATGGCAGTATGAAAAGCAGAAAAGGCCTTGGCTTTGCACAAGCCCTGCTCAGCAATAACAAAAACATTTCTATTTTATCAACCCTGTGTTCAGCACAAACCCAAAACGTATCCCTTCCCTAGCCACTGTGAAAAAATGAACTCTAGCCCAGCCAAAACCAGCACACCCTCCCACAGCACAGGCCTTGCCCAAACGCTGAGCCTGACTGACGCCCTCACAAGGGGCACTTGATCTTCAGGGGCCATCTGAGAATCCCCACTTTGACCCCCATCCATAAGCCTGCCAGGGGCTATGCAGGGTCTGCCTGAGCCCTCACCTGGCTCCAACAATCCTTATCTCTTTCCCATTTCTGTGTCCCTGTCCTGATTCTGTGTCCCCTGAAATATCCCCTACACCCCACAGCAAGTAAATTCCCCTTCAGAGGAATCCCATCGGAGCCCACTCTGCTTCTCTGTTGGGTGAGGGGATACATCTGTCTTGGAGGGAGCTCCAGGCAGGAGCAGCCCTGCTGGCCCTGCCCGGCCTCACTGAAAGCCCTCCCCCATCATCCCTGCCCTCGGACCCATCTCAGCTCAGGACACAGCCCCAGTCCCTGCCTGAGCTACCCCAGGGGTGATCACAGCTGAGCAGAGCCATGGATCTCACTGGTCCGCACCTGAACCACAGGCTGAGCCCTGCTTGACCTGGCCTTCACTTCATCACCATGGGCAGGCTGGCAGTCCCTGGCAGGGCTCTGTCTGACCCTGGTCTCTGTCACTGGGACAGAGCTTGCCCTCAGAACTGTCTTGGCACCATAATCTTGGTAACCTTCCCAGTTCTGGCTGTTCCCTCAGACCTGCCCTGCCAGCCATGCTCCTGGCTCCCCAGCCCTCCTGCACCCCTGGCAGTGCCTCTGGTACCACTGAGAGGATGACTTGAAGCTTGCTAACAGCACGATTTCCTGGAATGTTGATATTTACAGCTGAGTTAGGGCAGCACAAATAGAGCTGGTGCAATTAGAGGAGCCTAAACCCCGCTCCTGCATATAGCCACTGCAAAGTCATGTCTACACATGCACTGCTGTGCTGAGCAAAACACTGGCTGAAGCACCAAACCCAGAGAGCAAAATGAAAATGGGAGCTGGGTAATCATCCTGGGCTACAGGGGATATCAGCTTCATCAGCCCCTCAGTGCTCTACAGACCACATTGTCCAGCCTGCACTGTTCTGCACAGGTGTTATCCAGGCTGTCTCTTGCACCTGCAGTGTGCTCCACAGAGCAGCATGGACTTCATCTTTGCACCTTGCTTCTCTACCCTTCCTATGGGCAATCACAACCACAGGATGCATGCTTTCATATTTCTCACTGATGTAGGAAGATGAAACTTTAGCAATTGCTTTCATAATAATAGTGAAAAAAACCCTAGATATTTCCAGGTTGTTCACAGAAATTGTATGTGGGAAGAATGAACTAGGGAGATAAGGTGAAGAAAGGCAACCTTGGAAGGGAATAGCTGAAATAGAGACAAAGTCATTTTCAGCTTTATTGTTTAACTTCACAAAGAAGTTTTGGCACATGCTCCAAGGGTTATGCAGTAGATTCATTAAGCAAACAGTAATTAGGAAAAAGCCCAAAGCACTTCTACATATATTCACATGTTCTCTGGTTGCTGCACCAATTCGTAGCACTGTTAAGGCCTGCAAGGAAATAAATATTCAAGACTTGCTTCTGGTTTACCGAATTCCCAGTGGAGTTACTCAGTAACACAGAGGATGGAATAACAGCGCACGGTTTTCTATGTGTTTTATAGAAAATGTTACACATGTTCTAAAACTTTTTATTGATTTTTTTTTCTGCTTTATCCTGTCCACAACCAATGTAAAGAATTATATAACAGGGTGTGTGCAGCAGTATAGAAATACACACACAGTAGATCTGGGGTTTAACAGTGCTGCTAAGTATAGCATGTTGGGAACACAAATTCTGAACCAAACTTCCAATTTCACTGGAAACCACACATTTAAAAACAAAAGAAGTCCATTCCCATTTCATACTAAATGTTGGCTGCCTTCCTTATGCAAGCATTGCAGTCCTTTTACATATTTTTCTAGAAAGGAGCTATTTATTTAAACTTAAGGGAATACAGATGCAGAATATGTATTAAGATCCTGTAGCAAATACATTTAATAGTATTCTGAATCACTAGTTCAAACTGAACTCTGAATATGTGAAGGAACAGTATCAGCATTACATCAGTACTGGAGTCACTGTAGTATTATTGAAATAAAATATTAAACCCTCAAGCTTTGAAATAGTTGCATGTCCCATCTGGATATGTATATCCTCATCTGGAAAAGTTGGCTCCTTAATACATGAGGGTTTAAACTCAGCTGGTTCAGTGACCCACTGTATTGCTTCCTTTATTTCCCATTTCTGCTTTGCATTCAGCATCTGGGATAAGAAAAATAAGAATCAAACACAGTGAGGGTTTCTAGAGAGTTATTTTTCCTGACAAACTGCAAAATTTTTATGAAGTGGTAGAAATTCTGGAAATAGAAAGGAAATGAAAAGTTGGAATTGCTGTTCTGCCTGTATTGTACTTTTGGCTATGCTTATGCAGTGTTGCAATCACTATGTCAATAATCCAGACTAGGTTCAAACTAAGCAGATCAGGACCTGTAGGAGGTAAAGCATTCTTCTATGGGAATGAGTATATCTTTGGCAGCATATATTTAAGTAAAGCACCCTAAAACATGGATATGGTTGCCTGAAATTTTCTGCAGAAAGGTTTCCTGACAAAAAAAAAAAGTGCAATAGTTTAAATAAGATGAGTTTTTGAGGCAGCATTTCTCTCCCACACAAGAGAAATTTTTTTTCTACAAAAAATGAATCATCTGAAAATTACATCATAATTCCTCTGCAGGCTCTTCAGGTCTTTGCCATTCTATCTTGACAGAGTTCCTGGTTCAGCATTCCATGATTTATGGCATCCCATGAAAGCTTTGTGCTGCACTGCAGCACCCAGAGTAGCTCAGCAGCTGTAGTGTGTCAGTGAAAATGTGGGGCAAAGAATCTGACACATAGCAGTCAACAGAGTAACCTTTCAAAATAAAAATTAGTGACTTCCATCTACTTTTTCATTTTCACTCAAATATTTTAGTTTGAATAACTTCTTTTCCAGCTTATTTTTGGCCAAATATCCATTAAAAATTATTAACAGGCTTTATTCTGGAAGTCTCTCTGAGTACAAAAGGCACTTTAAATCTTCTAGAAGACAATCCTGGTAGTGGGGCTCCCCCGCAGACTCAAATTTCTGGCACAGAAATACAGGTTAAAATTCTTAGTAATAAATCTACTTCAGCCTCATCCAATACTCCTGTTCGTGGAAATATATCAATGTTTGTTGATATCGTTATTCAGGATTTGAAGAAGGAAAAACTCAATATTTGTCAATAAATGCATATAAGAGATATTTCACCTAATGGTTTTAAATAAAAAATAACATAGTATAGCAGCAAAAAGTTATATTCACAGTTATTTTGTCTGGCCAAGCATTTCTTGTATAGATCTCAATCTGTAAATATCATCCTGTAGATAATCACTCACTTTTACTTTGAACGTATATGCATGCTTGGAACATGAAATAGATCACTTCTGAATGATTAATGGGGCCATAAACTGGAATCCATAAAGTAGATTTTACAATTATAGCATGACTGTCTTACAGAAGGAACTTCCTTGTTACTTCTCCTCCCTTGTGAGTAAGCTTCATCCTCCTCTGAAAATGAAGCGGCGATGGCGTTTTGTAAGTCAGTGGAAACACGTAAATCTTCACTTGTGACCAGCCCTCAGCTTTCCTGTGCCACTCCTGTTTTCCTGCAATGCAGCATTATGCAGTAGTGGAAGGGGGGAGTGTCTGGGAGAGATACAGAAGCAAAGTCATCACTGCCCATGTCACAGACCTGCAAGAGTTAGACTAAGCCCAGTGTGTCCTTTCAAAGCATAAAACACAAAAGTAGAACACTCAATTCAAGCATTTACTGTACATTATCCAGCCTTCTCTCAAAGCCTGTGTGTGCAACTGCAAGAAAAGTTAGATCAATTAATTATACATCTCCAAATAGCTCCACCACACTGCATCTAGAATAATATTAATTTACATGTAATTAGAATACGCTTTTTATTGCTTCCTCACAAGTAGCTAGAAAAAAACATCAGAAAATGAGATCAGATGTATCAGTAACAAACTCCTCATCCCAGCTAACTGTAACAAATAATATTTTTTTCTAATCCAGGTATGAACATCCCATAACTTGGCAACAGTATTTCAAGGTATACCTTTATGAAGGAAAAATACCAGCTATATTAACTTGATCTGACACCAATGAACTGAGACAGGGAGTCAAGCACATGCAGCTCTCTCTGGCAATAGGGATGCTGTTTATGAAGGAAGCCAAGCTCCTCTGCTCCTGACAGTTCCAGAGTATCCCTCAAAGTGATGGCAACCAGAATTTCTAGATTAAACCAGAATTTATTAAATTTTGAAGTTCATGTTGACTCTGAAGTAGATATCCCCTTTTCTCATCCATAAAGTTACCACAGGATAAGGGTACTGTCCTTCTCAATGTATCTATCCAAGCATGGATTTCATGTACTTTCATTAACACTCCTAATGATCATACTTTTGGTTAGTTCAGAGCACTCCCCTGAGAATCCCTATGTGCATAAACCCCTCACATAAACCAACAACAGCTGTAGCCATGCAAACTCACTGTTACACAGAATATACCAACAAAGAAATTTCCATTTCTATGTTAGTTCCATGGATATATCTTCGTTCATAAACACTCTGCCTAACTGGGAAAATCACTGAAATGCTATTAAGCCCACTTTTTTACCTCCCCAAATGGTAATGATAGATTTTCAGTCAATCCAGCAAAACTTGTAAGTGTTTAGGAGCAAGCAGTGAGAACTGATCATCATCTGTTAGCATTTCCCACATCACATACTATTTAAAATCTTATGGCTGTAAAATTGAACATTCAGGCCTGTTTTAACTGCTGGTCTGAGTTGCCCAGCCAGGAATAGGATCCTGAATAAGCCAGATATCCATTCTTTAACACTTTCTGTTTTGAAGCAGATAATAATTATAAGTCAGGCTGTGTTTAGTCAACAGTGTATTATTTTGTTAAATAATGCATCAAAAAATGTTATTTGGGTAAACTGAATTGGAGATGTTTTTACTACTTTATTTTTCCCAAAACCTGACATTTTAATCAAATAGATCAATTGGGCCAAATAAGCCCTTCCCTCTTCTCCCTAGCTATTTTATTGCAAGAGAACTGCAAAGCAGATAAATCCTTGGAAGAAGCAGAGATCGGCACAAGCTCATTGCTAACCCAGTGCAAAGAGTTATATGGCAAAACATCACCACTATGGCACAAACCTGATGTTTGACATTGCACTCCTGGGACACACAAGAAGATGCCAGCACACAGCAGGCTTCATCTCACACAGTCCCCTTCCCACTCTCTAAGAGATGCGAAGTAACTGTTTTCATCAGGTACAGATGTATTTAAGCTCACACCTTTCTCTTTTCCCAAGCAGACCATTTTGGAGTATTTCTGTAGGGGAACAAGAATGAATATCAAATTACACTGAACTGGATCAAATTCTCCTCCCACTCCAGGTTTCATCATTACTGTTGTTCCTCCAGCCTGTCAGTCTCACAGACTGATGGTGTGTTCCTGACAGAGTTACTCCCATCAAAACTGACGAGACAAATCCAGGATTAGGAAAATGGAGGGTACAAAACTCCAGCTTTGAAGGAAAGATGACTTACCGCAAGCTTCCTTCTCTGGTAGCACGCCAATAATCTATATGTATTCCCTGCAGAATAGCAAATGCTGGCAGCCTCCTTCAAGCATGACATATAAAAAAACCCAAAAAAACAAACCCATAGCATGATAAAACAGTATGATGAAAAAAAGATTAAGTAATGCTAGTCATTTGAAGATTGGCTATCAATCTTTTCCCCATTTTTCTGAAGCAAGCAGGGAGTTGAAACAGCAGATATTCTAAACCTTCACACCCCCCTCCCTCATCAGCTTGTGTTGCACTGCCAAATGTGTGTTTGCCTAATTTCATGGCTGTGAGTAGTTGATAATAAGCCCTTTTCAGCTTCTTTTTAAACTCTATCCAAGCAGGAGTAAAAGATTAAACAGGAAAGCCAAGTCACACTATTTTAGCTGTCAAATTAAAACAGGGAAGCACCCCTATTCTCATAGCTCCTGTTCTCAGAAAAGGAAATACCTAGTTATTTTAGAGCAGGATCCTTTAGATCTTAATACTGAAGGGAATTCCCCCCCAAAATGACTGATCACTTCAGCAAACAGATCAACACATGAAGGCCAAGCGTTTACTAGCAGACCATGGTAGCACAGGCAATTAAATTACCAAGTTTGTAGTTTTCAGCAAGGAGTTGTTTTTGTGAAAAAGCCCCCAGCCATTAAAAAAATGAAAACAAACTCCCAATTATCCAGACTTAAAGAAAAGCAGCTTCTTGTCCAAACCCCAAACAAAGACCTACAGATTAAAGCACATTCTTTAAGTACACAGCTTCCTGTCGCTGGAGACATCAGCCCCCACTGCTGGCTGTGACTCGAGAGAGGGCAAAGACCAGCTGTAGAGCTTCCCCAGGAGAGGGGCTAGTTTGCATCTCTGCTCGAGAGCAGACACTGGAAAAGGGCATGTTGGGAGGGAAGGACTTCTCTGGGCAGAAAGCAGCACTCCCTGCCAGTGACACAGCTTCTGTCTGAAATGAGCTCTAAGACCATTTTAGTTTCGACACCAACTAAAACAGGTACTCTTCTAATAGGGGCCAGTTCCTTTAGACTTTCTGACCATGTCAACCTTTCACATAAACTAGAAAACAAAACAAATTAAATAACTGGAACCACAGTGATGCCATAACACACAGATGCTTTTTTCTTTACGATGAAATGTCACAAAATGCAAGTAACATTTACATTTGGCATGCAAAGTTAATTCCTGACACCAAAGCAAAATGGTTCTCAACACCAAGCAGGAACATTTGACACTTTCTCCTGAAAATCATTGAGGATTGAGCATCCTTCTTAGCCTTGTTTCATTATGGAAGCAATGTTGGTAGAGTGATTGTTAAAAAAGGTGTGGAGAGATAATGACTGTGGGTTTGTGGGAGTCTGTAATTCATGAGGACATGAAAGCTTTGCCCACTGAATTTCTTTCCTTTATTACAGATTACCACAAATACAACAAAAATTGCCACTGGAAAACATATCTATGATTAATAAAATCAATATGACTGAATATATATAAAGTTATTACAAATTAATATCTGCCATCCATAATATACATTATCAAACAAGAGCGTGGTACAATTAATTAATAACGACATGAATCAGTACTGTGGTACAACCAACGGCAGCAGCAGCCAAGTACTTACATACTATTTTAGATTACTATTTTAGGTTACTGTTTATCATACATGAAGCAGATTTATCAATTATATAACAGCAGATATTTTTATGATTACTTATACTAATATTTATGCTATTGATATAAAGTCAATTCACCAGATTTCAAAAGTAGCAAAACCATCTCAAAAGGTGGGAACAGCCTGGGGGACCAATCCTTCCTGAAAGAGAGGAGGAGAGACCTAGACAGTAAGAGAGCTGGTAGAGTCCCATTTCCAAAATAATCCATATAACAGACTTTTTTTAGCCAGGTGTCCCTGGGGAGAGCCCAAGTGTTCATAGAAACGTTGTGTGGGATTCAAGAAAGAAGTTCTCAGGCTCATTTCTGGATAAACATAGAGTGATTTAATAGCACATAATCATAAGAGGGAGTGGGGCATTCAGCAGCCAATAGATCCTGTTTAATTTCTATTTTTTCGCAGACAGCTGGGGATGCTGGTTTCAGTTCCTTCAGAGCTATTCTTTTTTTCAGACTGTTTTCCACCTTCACATGAGAAATTGTTGTTACAGTCTCCTTGTTTGGTTCTTATCAGTGGTATCTGTGGATGTTTCTGGTTTCTAGGTACCTCAGCTGCACTTCAGAGAGGCCAGCTGCCCTTTTCAAGGATGTTTTTCTCTAGTTCACAGGGCTGGTCTCCAGGCTCGTAATTCCAGGCAGCTCTTTCTATATCAGTTTTTTTGGAGCAGACATATACTTTGTTCACTAATTTTCCTTTCTAACCATTCTGTCTTTATGGCACATCACTGCCTAAAAAAGCTATTTTTAATAAATAGTAACATGTCAAGTATGAAAGATTTGGCTCCCAGATCAACAGCACATTCAGTAGGGAAGCAGCTAAAAGGTGAAAATCTCAGATTATAATATGTGAGTAAGAAAGATGAAATCAAGAGAAGGGTATATGAAGAAACAGAACTCAGCAGAAAGATTTTCTTTCAGAAATGCCAGAGCTCCACAAAATTACTCTATAATGTTCCGACCAATTCCACCACTAAGCACTGTGCAATGGCTGCAATTTTCCGTCCTGCAAAAATGAAGCATGGGCATAGTCTCCAAAAACTCAGCTCAAATGACTGTAAGTAATTTGATATTTTAGGGCCAATCATATGCATAGATTATTTCAAAATCAAGACCACATGGAAATGAGGGCAATCAGGATCTCTCTGAGTTAATGAGCATTCTTACACTGAAGTCCCATGGGTGTCACCTTTTCCTCTTGTTTGGCCCACAGAGCTTTCAGGACAGCAGCTATAGCCAAGTGGACAGTGCCCTTCTCTGGTCCAATTAACTGAGCAAAAAAATGTAGAGCCCTTAGTGTCATCCACAGTGGTTTGATACTCACAGTTTCTGTTAAATGATATTTTGTTCCCCATGGTTTAAAAGACTGCACTGTTGATAACACAGCAAGGGGGAAAGTCACTGATACTGGGGAAAAAAAAACAACAACAAAAAAAACCCAAGAAAAACAACCAAAACAATTCATACTGGTTAAAAATTACAAAAAAAGAGAGAAGGTGCAGAAATGTGCAATTTGCATCAAATACCCCCCTGAATTCTGACCAGTTGCTTTCACACTGGCTTGCCTGAGAACCACGTGTTCCTAATTTCCAAGAATGCAAATGGAACTATTTTGTGGAAGTTCACAACTTACGTGTTTGTTACCATCCTTTTCACCTAAATGGCACCCTAAAATGTGTCTTACGGCAGAGTTGCCTGTTGCTGGTAAGTTGCCTGTTGCTCTCTGGAGAAGCCTTCAAAGTTGTTGACAATTTCTCCCATGTCTCTATTGATCACATGAATAAAGAAAGCCTTGACAGCACACATGACTGCCAAGCATAGCCAAATTTACTGCCTCATTACATCCAAATGCCTATAACAGAAGGGCTGTAGGCCCTTTCCTCAGCTGCTACTTTGAGAATTAACCTTTTCAGACAGTATGTGAATTTGAAGTAGCAGCGTGGAACCATTCATTTTGTGCCCAGACCTGGGTGGCCACTGTCAGTTTGGCTGAGTGGCCATGTTTTATCTTATACTTCCTGTTTCCAGATGCTTACCCCTTCCTCAAAAAAAGTAATAGTCGCAAAGGGCTTTCAAGATGAAAGTTATTTTGTATCACCTCCCACTCCACAGCAGAAGAAAACAGCCACTGCGGACTGGCAAAACACTGTTAAGGGGACAGAAGCCATCAGAGCCCCTTATCCTGTGAGGAAAACAGCATTTCTTCAAATTATGCAGCCTTTACCTACCATCTCTTTCCAGCCACTGCTGCATCTCCCTGAGTTGTTTTGGTACTTGCAGTCACATTCAAATTCTGATTTCCTCATAAGGCATTCCGTTTCTGGCAGTGAGGTAGTGGCAGTTGTGCTCCAGCTGCTTCAAGTCCCCAAGACTCAGGGCTATACCAGAATTGGTTTTTTTCCAGTCCCACATACCACTAATCAATGTCAACATTTATTCTGAGCAAAGGGTTTTGCCAGGGTAAACCACATGCCAATCTTCTTCAGCAAACTGCAGAGTGTCAAAGCAAGGACAGACAGCACATAAGCCTTGTGCCAGCCATCATTTTCTTCAGCAGCATGGAATAAACAGTCTTGAGAGGTAAGATGCAGTGATTCCAGTTCTGTGAGTTGTCCCCTGCTTAGGATACTTGCTTGAGGTATGAGCAACTGATGTCTGAAACAGTTTTGTGAGAACTTCTTCGTGTGACTCTGGCTAAGACACTTTCCTTGCCTGTGTCTCTGTTCCTCTGCTGTTCCCACTTGCATTGTGGGAACAATCCCATGCCACTTCTCGTGGATGTGGTGAATCATGTACTACAGTGCCTGAGGTCATTTATGCATCTAGGCAGGTTGTACTATGCACATTTCACCCATGACGACGGGGAGGGTTTTCAGCATCTTATAACAAACCAGGTGATACACAGACTCCAGTCTTAGGCTGACTAAAGATAATGTTTTTTTTCCTAAAGAAGCTTAAAATAACTGAGCACGTACTTGCTAGATTCTAAGTGAGTAAAAAAAACCCAAAACCAACAAATGAGACATTTCTGTGAGAAATTATTTCTGTGAGGAATAATTACAAAGGTAGATTGAAGGAGGAAAATGCATGATATCATCAAGTCAGAGGTTTTGTGGGTGTTCAGCTGAGTGCTTAGAGGGTTTTGATATATTTGAAGTGTCAGTGAAATAGACTGGAATGGCAAAGAAGGAAGTGCTCATTCTATGGTCTAAGGCTGAAAGGGCACTGCTGCAAACCAGTGATGTCTGGAACCTACGCCAAAGTACAAGAAGGGAGCAATGAGAAGGGAACTCATGAATGTGCTCACTGGGCAGTGGTTGTGGAACAGTCACAGAAGCTGTGTCCTGTCCAAACTGCCTAACAAAAGCCTTCTTGGCCATGTGTCTGAGATGTGGCAGCTCAGTGACCTAGGAAGGCAGATCCCATTGACAGTCACTGCTTTCTCAGAGACCAAGGTCCAGCACTCACCCACATATGTGCTGTCTGAAACGTGGCTAGATGCATACCAGGGCCCCCAGGCAAGCCTCAGGCTAGAGATCCATGCTCCACGCTCTCTGCAAGGTGTAATTGGTACACTGGCTTTGTGGCAGCCAAATTGCTGTGCAGGACAGACCCACAGGGTTTTTTACAAGTTTGTCTCTCTCTCTTGTTGTTTTTGTTTTCGTTTTTGTTTTTGTTTTCTGTTGCTCAGGTGTCCATTGTAAACAATAATGGGAAACTACAGCAGATTTTCTTCTCCAAGCTCAGGACCAGGGGTCAAAGTTGGTAAGTGATGCTAAAAGTTGCCCATCTGAAAGGAAATGTTCAATCGACCAAATGCTAGATTCTGGCTGCTGCTTGATCATGGTCTTCAACTTGACCCTGGATGAGTCAAAGCACCCCTTTTCTCCTTGATAAAGGATAATGACACTGATCTCATTTGTTTGAGAGTGTGTGAGAAATGCTGTGTATTAGGCAGTAAGGGCTGTTGGGCAAGATGGTAAATGCCTTGGAAACCCCGGGGAGAGATGCTCCCTCTCAGTAGATTTCTGGTTATTGCCTGGCATAACAGTGTCTGTCTTGGAGCAAAGAGCAAATGAAGCCCAAGCTATTTTGTCAATAGATCAAGAGCATTTCCACAAGATAGGCTGACCTTTCATAGTGGATATGTATCCCGCTATCCTCCTGTCTGCTCTTTGTCATCCCCAGGTTACAAAAAGGGTCATTCCTTCCTACTTTACTGATCAATTGAAATCAGGGGCATATCTGTTGCTAAGTATATACACACTTGCTCTTCAGAACACTTAGGAGCAGTCTGAAAAGGCTGGGGCCATTCTAATGACAGTGGCGCCAGAGCTCATATTTAGCCTACTTGTAATCTGCTCATTGTAACCTTTAACTCATTGAGGCAATTGATTGAACTTCACTTCCATGTGGAAAAAAAAAAAATCCTCTCCTTGCAAACGGCAATTCCTTGATAAAGATATCAAGAAAATTCAATGGACAGATTTTGATGCAGTCACTTTAACAAGTAACAGTAGACTAAAATGTAAATATGGAAATTGTTTCTCTTGTACTTCTAGTCTTTTAGCTGAATGGAAATAATATACATTTATGGTAGTCATAAGCCACTTTGAAAGACAGAATCATTCCAGAAATGAAGAGGGTAATACAGAATAAAATCAAAACTCCAGTGAAAGGGGTACAGATGTACTGTTGCTTTTATAGAGCTGCTTAATTTGCCAGGCACTTTACCCTCCACTTAAAAAAGAGAAAACACTAACCTGTGAATTCTCATATGTGTCCATGCTATTACTGCACAGCCACAATGGAGAAATAAAAGCCGATTAGTTGCAAACACCCAGGCTAGAACTGAGAGGAGAGGAAGGTGGATAGAGGCATGTAAGGAACCCAAGTCATCTAGTCACCAGCTTTCACTCTCAGGAATATGAACCAACACTCTTGCCTTTTCCTGGGAATTCTCCAGAAGGACAGAATCACTGACTTGACCTCCTTTGCAGGACTGAGCAGGGGCTGCAATTTAGCATGGTCATTCCCTTTTCCACAGCACACCATGAACATCTTCCTGAGTGGCATTTTCTACACTTGCTGGAGAAGCAGGGAAAAGTCCTCACTGATCTCACGAAGAAGCAATCAAATGATTAGATGTTCTCTTCACGTGTGGTACTTTTATCATAGGAGTCACACTGAACTGAGATTTATCATATTTTGTTTTTGAAAGAACAGAAATGCTTCCTTACCCTTCCTTACTTCAGCAAATACACCCCTGGCACTGCCAAACACTGAAGGCAAGAGAAGGATCAACAGCCATTTAGCCCCTGGAAGACTGCCCCAAATGTGAATAGTGTGTGTGTGCAAGTTGGGGTGGGGGGGGTGGAGGGATAGTGAATGAATGGTGAATCCAGCAGCTGGCACCTGTGGAGGTGAAGGAAAAAAGGTGCATCATTAGCATGCCTGGGATGGATTTTCAGGAGCAAAGGTAAAAATTCACAGATTTATCCATTTCCCAGTATGTACTTACCAGCAGCCTCAGCTAGAGACTCAATAACCTAGCAGCAGGACACAAAGGAAGTGCTCCTACTGGCAGTAGCTTTTTGATTAAAGAAAGGAATGCTTTCACAGCAGTCAGCTTTCCAGTTGGTACATGACTAATTAATCAAGACTGCTTGTATTCAGGTTTCCCTTTTAGATTTCCAGTCTGTTTCTAGACCCTGCTGAGTTTAACTGGGTATCTGTCCTGTCTTTAAGAACAAAACAAAAACAACACAATGGCCAACACGTTTCTCCTTGCCTATAGTAAATTAAATACTAAGAGAAAATGTTCAGTGCTCTATAAAAATACACAAAAAATAAATACTTTGATACCCCTACAACAGTGGCTGTTACAATTTGACAAAATCTATGCCTTTAAAGAGAATGCTAAAAAGCCATTATCAATGTACTACCTACAAAAAGCACATTTGCATACATAACTAACAAGGAAAATAAGCTCAAAGAGTAGGACCAGAGAAAAACATGGGTGCCATGGCTAATGTCTGAACTCTGTGAAGTTCCTGGGTACACCATACCTATATGTGGAGAGGAGGGAAACCTGACAGAAAATCCGACACCCACATACATTCACTACGAAAGGCATGCTAAGCTACCTCTCAAGAGTGCTGTCTATTTGGGATCCAGGGGCCAGTAACTCTCTCGTCAGGCTCTCAGTATCTTGTTTTTGTTTTTATAAATTTCCTAACAGCTCATCAAGGCTCTTTCTTAGAAATTTCTGAGAGCAAAGCAATGCTTGGGACTCCCCAACTAATACGAAGCAGATCTGCTAGAAACCAGTCAGGGTGGGCTCCCAGAGCCACCAGAGAGAACTGAAGCAGCACTTGGCATTAGCCTTGCTCCATTTCCACTGTGCACAAGGGAACAGATGCTCTTCAGTTCCCCTGCATTTCTACCTCCTTTTCAAAATATGACAGAGACAAGAACATATGACATCTGCCATGCCACAGCCCTCAGCCTGCTTCCCTCTGCCCAGTGATGAAGTGTGGTACCTCAGCTGCTTGCCTCCATCCTTCTATCCCACTCACCCCCCTTTTCCTCTCCTATGCTAAGAGAGAAAGAAACAGGGAAGCTGTTGCTGTTTCTGTAGCTAACACACTCTATGTGTCACTAGGAAGAAGTGCCGAGAAAATAATCTGGTCCTTGAGGAAATGCTAAAGTCTGCAGCTGAGGGCGAAGTTCTTCTGTGGCTTTTGCTTCCAACTCTCAACACCCTAACAGTCTCTCACAGCTGACACCCAGCTAGCCAGGATTCTTGATCAGAGCCCAAGCTTTACACTCCAGGCTGTTACATCGAAAATAGATACAACCACCTCATTTCCTTCTCCTGACTCTTCTCACCCTATCTTGGAAAGGTGTCTGTCAGAGATGTATATTTAGGGGGATGCTCCCAGCCCCACACTGACAGTCTCTCCTGCAGTGCCTGGAAGGTCAAAGGCAGTTTTGTTCCTGTACTACAATGAGGTTGAAGTGCAAGATTGTGCGTCTATGAAGGTGTCTCTTTCAGACACTTGCACAGAGCCCAAGTACCTACTGCACAAGGCAATAGTTCCTGGGTGAATCACAGTTCTGGCCTGCGGCACTTATCCACCCAGACCTGCTTCTGGTGCCCAGATCAGTTGTTCCAATCTAGCCCTACATTCCTTAAGCCAGGTGTGAGGAATTGAGTCTCCTGCTTGCAATGCACTGCTTAGCTTATGTTGAGCGCTCCTGTGGTTTAAACCCAATGTGACTGCGTAGCTCTAAGTGAAGTCGTGTCATGGGAACGCTGCCGCAAGTACAAACATCTACAGCATCTCCATGGAAAACTTAAAAACGGAGAAGTTTATTGAACAGTTGAAAATAAATAACAAAAGGAGGGGCTCATTAAGTTTACTTCTTTATACTCATTTATACTCACTCCAGCTGCAGAAAACGTGTTTTAGAATAAGCATTAGTGTTGTAGATGAGTGTGGGTAAGACAGCATTCTGTCTTTTTTCTGCCCATCAGCAAACTATAGAAGTCTTTCTTTAAACAAAACAAAAAAACCCCAACCAAACAAAATAACCCACCAAACTCAACAAAACCCCTCCAGATCCTTTCCAAGGCCACTTTTCAGTTGTAAGGGCTACTCACAAGCCTAGTGAAATGAAAATTCAGTGGCTGCAAGGATAAGAACACATAAGGCTCTTATCATGCTTTATGCTAAAGTAGGAATGTACTTTTATCTAAAGAGTAGGATCGTACACATGTTTATGTTTGGAAGTTTACTCAAAAATACTATGAAAATATTCTTAAAATACTACAGCTTGAAACAATGCATGACAGAAACAGTCTGCAGGCCTAGCATGCAGAATGGGAATCACAAGGTTTGGATGGACAACAGGGAGGAGTACAGATTACCAGAAATTACATGACTGTTCTCATTAAAAATAGTAAAACATTAATTACATTACAGGAAATACTAAAAATACAGTAAACTTTGCAATTTGTAGGTTCTGTAAGAAGAATGGTTTTAGTGCTGCGTTAGTTATTATTGAAACTCAAACAGTACTAGCTCCTTGAATTACAGTGGCACTGCATATACATGCCAGAATCAGCACTTTGAGTCGTGCTGGTCATTGAGACAGGTAACATTCAATGAGGTTGAGATAAAACATTGGCTATCACAAAAACAAATGTATAAAATTCCCTGAAAAATTAGGCAGAAGTGAACAGTGGCTGCTAATCCCAGAGAAAGCAAGAGGGAGGATATGTGCTTGCCTTACAGCGTGACAGTGACTGCCAGCTGAGAGTTTAAGTTGGACTTGCTCTCACAAGAATCCCAAGTCCATCTGTCTGTCCACCAGAGGGGTAGTTTTAAGCCCAGGCAGAATTATTCTAACCTATTTCTGCCAAAGACCTGTGAACCAGTCTAGAAAATGTCTGTTTTAACAGCAATAATGCACAATGAACTCACCATCCTGCATGGAAGTACAATTTGCAGAGCATAAAAAGAACCTCATGAATGTTTTATTCCTGTCCTCCTCCCCTCAACGTGAAGGCAACTCTGCTTTTGTCCCCCTCCCACCTTCTCCCCTCCCCCACCTCAAATAAGCAGATGCAATCAACATGAAATTTATTTTGAACCAATTCTGCAAAACAGTTCAACAATGCCATACTTTATAAAAATACTTAGTTACATAATTAAACTTATTACTATTTATATAAAAAGTGTGAATGTGAATTTTAAACTCTGTTAGGGTAAGAACCACATCAAGGTCTTCAGGTGAACAAATAAATTTTCATAAACATACAAACTCTTTTGGAGAAGTTTTATAATACACAACCATTTACAATGAACACGTTCATTAAGTTAGTGTTTTATTCCTTTACTATACAAGTGTTATTACAATGAACTGTTCCATTCAGTAATTAAAAATCCATACAATGCCAGTGTCATTTTTGGCATTTTTTGTTATGACTGTATTAATACATAAACTCATATGATTGTGTTATTAATTTTAAAATATTTAGAAAAATTAAAATTTAATCATCTTTTTTGGGTTTTTTGAGTATTTTGTGTATGTGTTTTTTTGTTTTGTTTTTGTTTTTCTTACAGAAAGCCCTTTTAAAATTTGATAACCACAGATGTACAGTTGATGAGCAATGATGAGGGAAAATGAAAAATGATGGCACTGTTCCTACACAGATCTGTTTGGTAGCTGGATTCAATGTAGTGTAAACCCATGAATGTTAAGTTTAGTACCAGAACTATATTACCAGCTTTTCTGAATTCATTTGTTGGATAGCTTTACAATGATCATATGAATTCCAAGCCAGTAACTAAGTAAGAGTGTTTCAAAATTAAAGTATATACGCTTGATCAGAAATTCAAGAACCTCATGCAAATTGTTGAGTAAAAGACTTGACGTTATTGCTTGATATGTCAGTAGCCAAAGAAAATAAATCTAGATGTAGTGTCAGCTGGGCTGAATACCAGCAAATTTTATTACTTGGACAATATTAAATATATTTTATCCCTTTACTTTTTAAACTTTCACATTTTCTTTCACTTATTTTTAGTTAAATAATTCTGTAGGAAGGGCAGAAGTGGGAAGAGCAACTGTGTGTGTATCTTAATAGCCAAGAAAAGCAAAAGTGCAATCAAATCCCTGAACTAGTGACTAGCCACAGATAGCACTTGTGGCACCCACCCTTGTTAACACTCACAAGCCACATACAACAGTACCAAACCTGTCTCTGAAAAAGGATTAAAAGGTGGCCATTTACCAGCTTCAGTCTTGCTTTCCTGGTGAACTTTGTAACTTTGTTCAGGTAGTCTTCCCATACAAAAGCTCGCTGTTCCATTGGAGCTTAAAAGATTAAAGGCTTTCCCCCCGTGATTGTATTACATAGCTTCAAGTTCAAATATCATCATACTTTATCAACACAATTTTATAAAATATTACCTCATTTTCTAGTTACCTTCATTATTCTTAATTAGCAATGCAGAAAGAAAAAAGGAAAAATCTCTCATGCTACTTTCCAGTTATATTAACACAAGTATTAACACAGTGCATTATGCTCTCTAATCTCACTATTGAGATCTATCATTTAGATCAAGTTTCTCATTCACTGTTCCAATTTCTCCTTTTACCTGCCTACCCTAATTAAGTCCATGAAAGTGGAAGCTTAAAGACTGAGACTATAAGTCAAATACAGTTGTACCATCTTTTGTTTTGCGGGGGTGGGGGCACACACGTGTAGTTTTAAACACAGGGAGTTTTACTGAACTGGAATAGAACTGTTGGTCCCACAAAGTTCTTCTGCTTTAAAAAGGTCTTACCCCAAGATCACTACTTCCAGACAATTCCCTCATTAGTAGAATGATAAGCAAATACTGGGAGAATAAAGGATTTGAAACATTGGTTTTTCTGCTATTGTTCACACCAACACTCATTTTTTCTGCCCCGTATTTTCAGTAAGCTTCCTTTGGACCCTGAAAATAAGTTGGGAAAGAGGAAAAAATAAAAAATGTGTCATTGGTAAATCAGAGTATAACACTTTAAAAGTGGTTTTGTGCAACTGCATTATGAAATTCCAGTTTGCCATTAAGAGCATGCAAAGTAGCGAAGATTTTCTTTCCTGTGATTCCTTAGAGACTTCAGGAATTCTTTGCAAGTCTTTTACATTTGGCAGATTTGTGCATGTTATATAGACTGTTGGCTTATAAATTGTCACCAGGCTGGTACTGTGGTTCTGTAGCAGTAAAGTAGTCCTCCAAGAAAGACTGTATATACTCAAATGTTGGTCTCTCATCAGGGTCCTTCTTCCAACACAGTTTCATTAACTCGTGGAGAGACTCTGGGCAGCCTTGAGGACAAGGCATCCTATACCCACGTTCCACTTGTTCCAGAACTTCTCGATTCACCATTCCTAAAAAGGAAAGCATATTAGCTCTGAATGACATTATGCAAAGAACAGTTTCCCCAAAGTTTTTCAAGAACCTCTGCATCTGCAATGCATGTGGTTCTATCAGAACAGAACTTTGAATGAACATGGTTTACAGGGGATTGTTTTTTTACATTTTGCATTAAATACACTTTCTGAAAATTATTTCAGTACACTGGTAATTCCTCAACACATAGCCCTTTCTCCTTTCTCCCTTTCCCACTGCCTTGGACCTGTCCTTTCACAGAGGAGACTCAAGCCCAAATAGCTTCTCTCTGCCTCAGGTTCCACTCAAAGACCACTTAATTCGAAATCAGGCCAAGAAAAAGGCTTTATATATCTCTAACAGAACTGCCTTACACATTCCAGATCCAGCAAAATATCTGCTGAAAAATGTTTAGTTTCAAAAAGCGGTTCAGCAGGTTCAGTGTAGTGATGCTCTCTGTAGTCTGGGAAAATGTCAAAAGTAGAAATATCAGGAAGAGACAGACAGAAAACATAAGGATACCCACTAATCTGAAATAAACTGTCAGTCACATTTAGCAGTGCTATCATCTTAAAACATTTTAAAATATGCAATATTTAATCTGAAAATAAACCAAAGTATCTTTGTGAACAAAGGAACCAGTGAGGTATGACTAAGTTTTTGTCTCTGCTTGTCAACTGCGGGCTCTGCATGAAGGGATAAAGTACAAAAGGTAACTTGAGAGGCAGAGAATACAACAAAGAAAAGAAAAATCTATTGAATCTCCCTGTTACCTGGATATGGCACTCTTCCCTTAGTTACCAGCTCTGTCAGTAGAATTCCAAATGACCATACATCCGACTTGATTGTAAACCGACCATACAACGCTGCTTCTGGAGCGGTCCATTTAATTGGAAATTTAGCTCCTACAAACATTGGAAAGACAGATTCTCAGTTTTCTCTTGCTAATCCACAATTTGCTTACATTTCAAAATATTTTGAAAAGAATAATGCACTAAAAATATTTTTATACTTTGCCTTATTGATAAAATTCAAGATGGTATAGTATTTTAATATTTCTCAAACTAGGACAGCAATTATTGGCTACAATATCTGGAATCACTAAAGACATCTGAGAGTCTTACTTATATGCTTCAAGAAGTGAAACTGATGAACAACTTCTCTGCAATCTCATCTCTCTTCAAACTGTAGCATGTTTTATCCCCCAAAAATAATTAAAAGTGCTTTTTGAAAACACACACTGCCCCATAATTTTGAACAAAGGAAGTTTACTAGGATTACATTTAGGTGAGGGGCTCACCTAAACAGAGCTGTGAAAGCACACTTCCATGCATGATCTTTATCCATGAACACAGAATACAGAGGCATGTTCTGCTAAATGTAATAGTTCTAAGCAACTGAAAGGCAACCGGTCTTAATAAGATAATAAATTAACTGGCCTTACCTTGTCTTGCAGTGTACTCATTGTCCTCTATTAACCTTGCTAAACCAAAATCTGCTATTTTGCACACAAGATTGTCTCCTACAAGAATGTTAGCTGCCCGGAGGTCCCTGTGGATGTAGTTCATTCTTTCAATGTAAGCCATGCCATCCGCAATCTCAAAAAGAAAAGTGTTATAAAAGGTTATTTTTCATGACTATAGACATTTCTCCCAAGCATTAAGCTGCACCCTCTTACTTTAGCTCCATTCCCATTGTGTAAGTATAGGAATTACAGCATAGCAACCAAGAGCTTGGCACTGATTAGTATGTCTGGCTGTGCAGTATCTGCTAATTGCAAACCACACTTTTTCCTTTCTGACAAATTACAAACCCACAATAGAAGGTGTAACACAGAGCAGCATACAACAGCCAGACCATTTGGTATTTATGTTTAGTTGATATGTGATACCTCTTCTCTAAGCACAAAATACAGTTTTTCTGATACCTGAGCAGCCATGTCGACCAGTTGTGGGAGTTTTAAGTATTTCCCTTCCCCTTCTTTAAGGAAGTCTAGCAAGCTGCCTGTAAAACACAACACATTTTAGGGAAAAAAAAAAGGAAAAAACAAAAACGTTAACTTGACCTGAAAACACAAAGAGATTTTCTTCTTAGACATTATGAATGACGAATTTATCTCATGAAATCTGTATTTGAAAATCCATCATTTACTAGAATATGTAACCCAATGATCATGCCCATAGTTACCTCTGCACTGGTAACTAGTTAGTGCAATTCTATCCAAGTGGTTTGGAATCCACTTCAATAATGCAAATAACTAAACAATAACTAAACAGACTGCCATTTCTGGCAATACACTGGAATTTCTCCAGTGTTGTTGGTATCAGTGCTCCTCCTAGCTGGACTTTCTTCTGCTATGAGATTTATAATTACAGAACAAAAAAACCTCTATCCATTACATTTTTCTGCCAGCCCAAATAATATATTAGAGAAATTATTCTGAAATGATTGCTTTTATTTTGTTGCTTTTTCTTTCTTACAGGGAAAACTATCTTCTGTTCTTTACAATACCTTGTTTTCTCCCATTTATATAATGCAATTGTACCCAGAACATTACATGAGCAGTATCTGAAATCAGTTCCAAGGACCTGTGCTCACGTTAAGATTCAAACCTCTACTTGTGCAGAAAAGCTTTGTCTCTACGTAAGTTTTCCCTACAAGGGGCATTATGTCACATGAGGTAAGAATAGGACCTCTTTCCTAAGAAACAGGTGAAGATTGATAATCACTCTTGTCACTGTCCAAATTATAGTAACAAAATTACAAATGTGGCCAAGGTGGAGAAAGAAACTACTTGACTGCATATCCTGAAGTGGATTCATAGCAGTTCACAGCAGTAACTCTCAATTAGATTTCTCCAACATAACTTTAGTGACTTGCTGTATTTTTGTACAGTGAAAGTAAAAATGTGGCAGGCCAGACCCACACTGCTGCTGCTGTTTGCTGTGTGTGTTTGCACAGACTTTTTCTGACACTGGCTCATGAGATCAAAGGACTGAAGAGGAGCAAAGATTTCACACTGATCTCTAGTAACCTGTCCACACTGCAAAAAACAGTTGGATACTTTGCAGTTTGTACCTGCTTCTTTTCCTTGTGAAAGAGGAAATAAAAATAAATTGTTGTTCTAGTAGCTTAGAACAAGGAAATTCTATGGGTTTTGTAAAATATGAGAATTTTGTCAAAGGAAAGCTATAAAGAGAAGCTTCCAAAAGCACTTAGAATCCATGATTTAGACAAATTACGATTCTGCTTTTGCAAGGTAGCCAGTTCTGGTAGTGAACTTTGCTTTTCTTTAGGCAGTTATAAACACTTTTTTCATTACTGCCTTGCTGAAACCTGCTTTCTGAACAATGAAAACTGACTTTGCATAGCTGTCTAGTATTATTTAGGAACAAAAATGCAGAAGCAAGTTTTTACATTTCCTGGTCATTTTTATATTTTTGATATTGCACAACCCTTTAAAAACCCCATCCAAACAGGAAAAAAGTAAACCCATACATTTGTAGTGCAGTACTGAACACAACTAGCCACTCCCTTGCTTCTGCATCTTATGAGGACAGCAAAATTTCTCTATGAGTTCAACAGAAGTCTGCATTTTACAAAAAATGGAATCATTGATTTGGAAATCTGCTGCTTCTTAACAGTCATATGCTTATGATATTTATTTCTACATTCTGCCTAAATCTCTAAATCTCTGTTTCAGAAGCAGGGGGAGGGGGAAATGACATAGAGCAAAGGAAGAAGGATCAAAGACTGAAAACAAGGGGATAAAGGAGGGAGTCTGGAAAAAAAAAACACTCAACCTTTTTAAAATTATTACACTGCTGGGAAAGAAACACTAAAAAACCCAAAGCTCAACATGTTTTGTTGTTAGCATGACCTGTCTACAGGCAGGCATAATCTGATGATAATACTCCCAGCTATGCCATTCCGGTTAAATGTGATGGACAACACACACTAAAAATGAGGAGAAAAAACCCCCCGGTCTTGTACTTGGAAGATTAGAAAGGGTGACACAGATGTGCAAAAGAATCATGCCTCTGCCCATAATCTAAATCAGAACTGCTCCAAGTAGGTCAAGCGTCGCTCATTTTAATTTAATCAAAAAGAACACATATACTCCAGTTAGCTTATACATAACATTAATTAAACATTTGATTTGTTGCTGAGGTCTTAAATAACCTTTTAAATGTAGTATTTCTAACTATTCTGTCCCACACCTTTTGTCATGAATTCAGTGACGATGTAGATTGGTTCCTCAGAAACGACTGCATACAGCGGAACGAGCTTGTCGTGTCGTAGTTTCTTCATGATCTGAGCCTCCTGCAGGAAAGCTTCTGGCATCATTGTACCAGGTTTCAGTGTCTTGATTGCTACTTTTGTGGTTCCATTCCATGTTCCTAGAGAAACAGATCAGGTTTTATTCCCCACTGTAATACTGAAGAGATTTTCTGATGAAACTTTTTTTTGCCTCTGTTTTCTTAGCTAACAGAATAATCATAAACTAGAATTATACTGAATATTAATTTTACCATTACATGCATGATCATAACTGGCATTTTTTCGCTTCATTTCTCTATGATATTATCTTCTCAGATCCTGATACCAATTTACTTAAAATACTATTAAAACATTCAGGAATAACTGAAATGCGTCACATTAAGCTCTTACCCATCCACACTTCACCAAAACATCCTTGGCCCAACTTAACTTCCAGCCTCAAAGATTCTCTAGGAATTTCCCAAGCATCTTTTGCTAGTCCCTGTGTTTGTGGTTTCACAGTGGGACACACAGTTGTTAGCTTATGACACAGCCCATCGGCATGTTCTGAAAAACAGAAAAAATAGTCAACAGCTTCACAGTTAAGCAAGGGTAAGACTGTAACAAAAGTTAACATCTTAATGTTGATAAAAAAACAACTAGTCCATTTACCTTTTGTTGAAATCAAGAAGAAATTTTACAGTTGTGAATTTTAAGAATAAGCTATGGATGCAGTTTTTCTTCCTCACAGTAGGGACAAGGTAACATTGGGACACTGGGACTTTGGCTTACCTCTGTAGTGTTTCACCAACTTCTGCAGAGATTCAAATTGTGCTCTGGTTGTGATATAGTATCCACCATTGTCAAGTTTCCTGATTTTGTAGTGTTTTACATTATCACCTCTGACCTCATCCCAGTCACGTATAGAAAGGGAATAAGCACCTAGGAAAAAAGTAACATCTGGTTCTTCACCAAAATATAAAAACGTATTTAATGTATCTCCCCAAGTGTCATGGTGCACATACGTGATGTTCACATTCATGTGTATCATGGGACAGGCGTAAAAATATTCACCTTGGTGTTAGGGAGAGCAGGGAATGGGAGAGAGAGAAGATATACAGAGACACGTACATACCTTTAGTGGTTTCACTCTCTCTTACTAAGAAAATACCACGCTGGTTCCCAGGATTTAAAAGTAGCCTTTCTGCATCCTTCCTGCCCATCTTACCAAAATACCACCTAGAAAAGTTAAAATGAAATGTGTAAATAAAAACTTCCTATGTTTTGGTACTCATATAAGCAAACGATTTAAAAATCTCAAGCACTGACTGGACTACTAATATCCCAAAACAGTTGCTGGGCTGCAAGTATCCCAAAGCAGCTACAGATCAACAAAAGCAATGACATCCATATAGACAAAAGATTAAGATGACCTATTTCTGTATGACTCTCATTTCTGTTATTTACAAAATACATGTAAAGAGGCCTGTATCTGCAAACACTGTGGTTTTCTGCTGGTTTAACAATGGACATCAACTGCTCTTAACATTGAAAGGAACACCCTCCTCAGGCTGTTTTCAGACCAAGATCAATCAGATGACACACTTTGGTAGCACAGTCAAACCTTTAGCAGCTGAAATTCCCTTCTTTAAAAAGTTTTGGCTTTATGTTAGAAAACAATATTTAATGCCAAGTGAGTGTGCATAAATATCATTGGATGACAGGTTCATTCAAGTTGGAAGGACCCATGGAGTTCTCTGGTCCAGCCTCCTGCTGCAGGCAGGGTCAGCAGTGATATCACACCTAATTGTTCAGGATGTAGTCTGCTTCAGGCTTGAAAACCCTGAAGAACAGACCACTAACCTGGGCAACGTGTACCCCTTCCTGACTGTCCTCAGGATAAAAGCATTTCTTATATTCAGCTGGAAACTCTCCTGTTTCAATTTCTGTTGCCTCCCATCTTTCTCTACCTATAGACAGCACTTTCCTATTGATCAGTTAGGAACAACCCTATGGTAGGGTCATTTACTTCTCTGTGAGTAACATTCCAAATTGCAGAATCATTCTGATACCAAAAAGAACACAGATGTTTTAAAAGACTTGCATTTTTTCTTGCCTTCAGCTCTTTCACAAAAGGAGTTTTTCTTCTATACTCGCACAGCATGCTCATCCTGGTGAACAGCCTGCACACAGTGCTGTCCTGAGCCAGTGATAATTTTAAGGTCCATCTTCATATGAATACCCAGACTTTGGAATAAGACTTATTTCTAACTACAATTTATTTTTATTAGATGCCTCAGAAGTTACAAAGTGATGTAAAGTGTAAATTTCAAACATTTTTCTCTCTCACTGTCTTATTGTCAAGTTAATTTGGCTTCATGAGTGATGGGAAAAGTAGTACTGGGAACTGCTGCAAAACAATGGCTTTGTGGGTAAAACATTTTCTGGGGAAAAAATGCAGATAAAGAGGGATCACTTTGTTGTCCATGAACAGAATGGCCTGTGCAATCACATGGGAATTTGAAACTTATTCTTACATTTTGTTGCATTTGCAGTTTGAGTGTTGAAGGAGATGTGCAAAGTTAGAAATGGATATGAGAGAATACACACAGGAGACAATTTGGATGTAACCTAAAATCTTACAGAAGCAAACCTGAATCCTAGTTCATAACTTCACATGAAAATGCCTCTTTCCCAGACTACAACGATTTACAAACTATATTGTGAAGTGCTATTATATTTCACTACCTATAAAATAACAGATAGGTATTCCTGTCAACAGTAGGGTTCAATTGCCTTTTAAGAGACAATTAAATATTTATATTATGGTGCCATTAGAAAGCGCATACAAATAATATGAATCTTGTCACGAGCAGTTTCTGCTATAAATGCCTCCAGGCTTAGAAAAGGCCACAGACAAACTCTTAGCAACTTGGGGCTCTATACTGAATTTGCACTTGTATCTCTAACTGCAGCCACTACACAAAATCAACAAACTCTATCAAAGCACAGGGCTAACAAACTTCAAGTAAATGAACTGTATCCCAAATGCTGTGGGGATATTTCATATAATTAGCACTGGTTCTTTAAAATAAACAGTTTTTAAAAGCTTCCTCATTCATCAACCTTTACTCTCACCTCTAGTCATCATATAAACCTATGACAAATCCCACCACTTTGTTCTAGCCAGTGTTTAGGAGCCATACTTTGTAAAGGGCTATCATTTCCATTTTACCACCACTGCAGTTGTAATGACATAAGACTTTATTGCATAGTTTAAAAATAAAAGAAATATTTTACTTTTTTCCCCCCAAAATAAACAAAAGTTAATAATTTTAAAACCAGATGAAATTCAAGGGAGTGAAATAACAGAGCATCTTTGATGCAATAATTTTATGATAGCAAAGAGCCAAGTGAGAACAGCAGCAGCAACATGCTAAAGTCTCAGCTTGAGATGCAGGAAACATCTTGAAAATCAGGCACTTTTCCCAGACGTGCAGTAGCAAACAGAGAAGTGCACAGATCACATATCAGTGAACTGCTGATTGGCAGTATCATGCCTGTATATTGAAACAAGAGCTGTGCAATTTTACATTTCTAGTACAGCAAACACAATCCCTTGGAACAAGGATAACCCAAAACTCTATTCCAACCTACAGGTTCCACAGTCATTGTATGTGATTGTCTAAGCACTCCAGGATATTAGGAAATAAATATAGGAAGTATTGGTACACAAAGCAGTATAATTTTCCAAATTCATAGCAGTCCTTACCATATCAAAAAAATTTGTCACCAAAACATTATTACAGATTAATAGATTAAAAATAATTGTGCACACAAATGCTTTTTTAGAATGTAAGGTTAGGTAATACCAAATATATAGCTGATCTTCATTCAGGGTTTGGCAAGCAAAAATAGGGATAAAAACCTAGAGTTGACGGCATGTGAACTTTTTAGCTAAAACCCATAAATTTTTTGCTTTATATGATACACAAGACATGCCCTCCAGTTTTTATCCTTACTGAATTCTCCCATCCTTTCTCCCTTAGCCCTGCATGTAGCGAGCAGGCAGAAAACATCTGAGTGTGTGTCCACCTCACGCTTACTAATAATTACACCTTTGACATAATCCAAGCAGCATTGCTATCCTTTCATTAATAGTATTCTTCTACTTTACCCTTATATGTTACATATAATGAATTTAAAAAACCAATTATCACCACAGGGTAGGAAGTGTGTAAAATTGACAGGATACAGTGTCTTACTCTTCTGCTTGAATGGAGTCTGCAGGAGCTACATAATTGCTTGGGATGTAGCCTGTCTTTCCCGTAGCAATGGATCTTGCTTCCCACCAGTCTCCTTCCCTGCAATGAAACGTCATTACCTCTTCCACATATAAACACAACACATAATTACATAGCACCTGTAACGTACTCACTTCAGAAAGGCAGATAAATTTAGGTAACGTGTTATTTTAATTATGAGGGTATCTGAAATTTTCCTATTGTGAACAACACAAATGCCTCTTAGTGGAATTTCATATTTTAAAGATTTGGGACCTTTTTTTTTTTTTGGTGGAAAACCAAAATGCTTTATGGCAGAGATGTGTAAGTAAACTTTTGAGTTGTCTAGTCTTCATCTGCCTCTCCAGATGAGAGTAACTCCAGGTGCAGAGCCTGGGATGGAGCAGTACCTGTCCCCACCTTTGCTGCCCCAAAGGGGGTAGCTGTGTCTTGCTGGGGCAGGGAGGGGAAGGAAGTCAACCAACTGAGAAGCAGCTTGGGGTTACCACAGTTGCTACAGTTCTACATCTGCACCCAAACGCTGATCTCAACCTGACAAGTTATTCTGTTAGCAGCATTATATATTTTAACCCCATGCTTGTTGAATATTGAAATTATTAAAAAAAAAAAAATCAATTACCCTTCACTGAAATAGGATACACGGATTTCCAAAAGAACTAAGGATCTAATTATTTCAAACAACCCAGTGAGGTCTGCAAATGAGAACACTTACGTGTTATTTATTATCTGGAACCGTTCACCTTTCTTAAATGAAAGGTCATCTGTAGTCCTAGCTTCATAATCATATAAGGCCACAAATACAGTAACACCACCTTAGGAAAAAGAAAAAAAAAATCACATATGATATAGAAGTAATGTTGAAACACTTGATTTAAGGACTTGTCCATGAAACAAGAAATCAATTTTGATTTGGAAGCAACTGAACACTCTGGGTTGCATCTCATTTTGCAAGACAGATCAATAACCTGCTAATTTCTCAGAACAGAGCTATGCCTATAAACAGACATTCTGAAAATATGTTTCCACACCACAAAAGGCCAGTAGACACATTGCTGGATCTACATTAATAATTACAGCACTTATATAGAGAAACCTGCATGATGCACCATCAGTAAAAAAATCCAAGCCCATAGCTTCTTTATTAAGCTTGCTTCTTGTTAAGCAATGCAATTCTGGAAGAACCTACACCACCACAAGAGTGAACCATCAGCCAATAATTTTCACAGAAGTGAAAGTTCCTGCTGCACTTAGCTATAAATAACTGATGTATTCCCAAATTTTTGAGGTTACACATCAAGACCTACCCAAGGAATTGAACCAGAAATTAAAGTATTCTCTTGGGGACAAAGACATTCCTCTGCTTTAGCACTGGTGATTTTTTTGATGCCACCAAGTATCCCCACCTGTAAAGCAGACCCTTGCTGAGGATGATCCATCAGTGCATTACTCCAGAGAACAAGGATCAAGACAGGTCACATGAGGAACAGCTGCACTCCACCAACCCTAAGGAATCCGCTTTCCTATCCTACTTCTGGTACAGTGCACGCTGTTGAACGTGTCCCCCAAATAGGACAGATTGAGAGAGGTGGATGGTAGGAAGGCTTCTGCACTTAGCAGAATTTTTCTATACTTCAAAGAACTAATCTATAAAACTGGGAAGATGGAGGAGAGGAAGAGGGAAAGGAAAAAAGGCTGTTTGAGATGTACAAGCTACTAGCAAAAATAAAGAACCATGTACCATGTAACCATGAGAAAGTTAAAATAGAAAATCACAGACAATTCAGAAAGACTTTTTAAGCCCTAGAAATGCTATTTCTTAGTCTAATTAACATTTAGAAAGCCTAATGATTGTCCAACCAGTAACATATTTTTAAATGTATAACACTACATCTCTAATATGGACATGTACATATCAGGATATACATGAAAGACCACCAAGAGAAACATGTTGCATCTAATTTAGGTTTTAAAATTAGCATGACCGTGATCAGAAAGGAAGAAGACATAATGCAATGGGGACAATCCATATGCAATATTCTTTTGCAGTGCAGACTTTCTGACCTAAGAGCTACTAATCACCTAAATAGTTTGATCTGGAGTCTTCCTGTGGTTACAGTCTCTCAGCAGGCCTCAGCTGGAAATGTATTTACAGTTCCACTAGGAAAAACAGAACAAAATCCCCACAGGAGGTTAGAGTAATTGAGGGTTTTTTTTTTCTAAAGTGTGATTTATGAACTGAAAATGAATTAATATATTCCTTAGAAGTTAGCAGCTCCTAATTTAAGTTAAAAATCAAAACAGTTCTACCAATTTTTCTCTATATTACTACATTATTTTGATGACACAAACTGATAAGTAGAGCAAGAAAATAGTGAGGATACAAACAGTATTCACAAGAACAGAAAGCAAGTGTTATGGAAATAAGCCATCCCCTGAAAGTTCTTCAGCAGATGGAAACAATCAATACTCTCAAGTCACAATATCACAAAAGTTTTTAACTGCATATAAAGAAACTCGAAAAACTTCAGCTACAATAAAACCTCTTTTTATTCTCAATCACAAGTATTTTTTTCATAGTAAAGAATAATAAAATACTTGAAGAGAACAGCATCAGCACAGACTGATTTAAACAAAGATACTGTCAAATGATATTTCAAGTCTCTTGCAGCTATTTTCTTTGTGAACCACTGTGAGGTGATCTAGTTTAGTTGCTCGAACTATATGTGGCCACAAGACTTCCCTTGAAGATTTTCCTTTTATTAGGTCAGTATGCCATCCTCTAATCTATGACTGGTTTTGGAGAGAAGACTTTACTTTCTTGCTCAGCAAGGGGATTACAGAGCACTAGCATAGCTTCTTGGAAGGCAAGAACAGCAGTCCATTTTTCTGTTTTGATTTTCAGCAATATTCTATGAATTCAAAGTATCTGAAGACAGACAGTGTGTAATACAGGAGCAGTGTGACTAACTCTGATTTCTTCTTTTCTGCTCTGGAGGAATAAAAGATGGCTCAACTTTTCAGCCTCACTACAGGCCATGATGACAACCATATCATCCTCTTGTCACTCATCACTGATCAACTGGATAAGTACTACTGACATTTACATCCTGTTTGACAAGCCCATCTATTCTCCTCTCTTGTGAAGCAAAGGGTGACAGAATGTGATCCAGTGTTTTATTGGTCACAAATACAAAAAGCTTACAGCAAATGAAGGCTGTCATCTCATTTGCTCACAAAAACACCCAATTCTAATTGATCTGAAAGGCAGTACTGTATGTGCCAAATAATTGTTAGGGCATTTATATTTATGTTTGTCTTGGTTTTTTTTTTTTGTGGATGGGCTGGTTTCACAGAACAAGGAGGAATAATTTCATATGCACTATCATTTTGCCTAATTGCAAAACAATGGGAGCATTCACACAAATCAGTCTGCCTGCTGATAACTGATTCCACACTGATGAGATACCAGACTCTCTTTTCATGAGAAATCTCTCTTGTTGACTGGTTCAAGATATAACATGCGTAACAACCAACAGGAACAGGCAAGAGAACACCCCTTCTGGTCTCTGCAGCAAAGGATTTGTGGTACCCAGTGGGGGGCTACATCCCTGATGTCTGGTTATGCCCAGGAGTGTTGGAGATGCCTACATGACCAAAGAAGCAGATCTAGTAAGAAGAAGTGTTCCAAGGTTCTTGGGAGAGATGAAATACAATGAACTTTCCTCAGCAGAGCTAATGAATATAAATAAATGCTGCCCTTATTTAATTTCTGCATATGTTCATCCAAAAGAGGGATTCAGAGTTGACTCACAAATGATACAGGCTAGCTGTTCATTTTAATTATTTGGTTTTTAATGTACTCCCAAGAAAAGGACCATGAGGTGATTATTACGTGACAATTCATACTTGGTTCACTGAATTGCTTCATGCCAAGGTCAGAATGTGTTTTCATGGATCTCAGATTTCTTGTGTTTTTAAAAGACTTTAAATGCCACTGGAACAATGCAAACACTTGAGCACTGTAATTGTGCCAACAGAGGTTTGTGGGAAAACTAGAAATAGACTATTAAGGAATTATTTAGTCCGTTTTCTGAAGTGTCTGTACAGAGCTTCTAGAATAAATTAGTCTGTCTTTTTAGTGTCTCTCAAAAAAAAAATAAAAATCACAGCTTCCTCTCAAAAAACAATGAAATTAGTTACAGGAACAAAATCAGTATTTTTGTAAGTTTTAAGATTTTAATACTAAGGTGGGTTTACCACATCAAATATGCATGTTGCTATAAAACCTCTGCCAGAAAGTTCTCTGTGCACTGCAAATTCTATCTTACATTTTCCATTCTGGTCTTCATATGACCACCAAAAATGGGAATTCTGCTCTTTCATTTCACACATATTGTTCCCATGGTGAAGTACATAGAATATAATGCAAATCCTATTTAGCTTTATAAATTCATTCAATGTTGTATTAATGTAATTTAAAAGTAATCAGACTTAAAACCAGTTAAAAAAATCAATTTCCTGAATCTGAAGTGTTTTTCATTTTGTACATCTCTCCAAGTTTAAAGCCATTATCCCACAGACATCCTTTCAACAGCTTACAACTTCTAATATAATTTTATCAACTATTCCCATTATTGTCTTTAGTAACTCTTAAATTTCTCTGTGCTGTGATCCTAATTGTCTGTACAAAAATAAAAGCCTAAACACCCAACCTTCATGTCCCAGTCACTAATGAATACAGGCTGAATTAGGCTGAATTATTACATGAGCAGTAAAGATACTGAAAATCAGGAATCTCTAAAAGGTAATTTATTTTATATTTGCAATTTATTTCTGTATGGCAAGGTGTCACAGTATTTTTTTTACTATGACTGCCAAGGGTCTACAATACTAAATAATAGCATCATTTTATGTAACACTCACCTGTTAAAGTACTAGGATATGTACTTGGCACAGCTGAAAATGAAGATGATGCTCCTCCAAAAGGTGTCATTCCTGAAGGCCCTCCAAAAGGAGTCATGGAATGACTATTAAAATTAACTGCTGATCCCTTTATTGACGGTGACTGTGTTGCTTGGCTGGAATCTGATCCATAATGACTGACATGGGAAATAACAGGTTCTGGAGCATTTTCAGTTCTGTATTTCATGGCTGGGCCTTTACCTTCTTTGCTTTTAATGCACCCCATCGTTGCTTCTGTGAGGATAAGAGGGAAAAAAACGAAAAAAGAGTTCACCTTCATGTTGTCTTAAAATAGCTAACACAGGATATTTCCAAAAAGTTAATCCAAATGAAAATTTGTTACTGTTAAACTCCACACAGAGTGTAAACTCTGATGAAAAAGTGTTCTGGAATAAAACCTAAACTATTACCAGACCAGGGAAGCCTTAACTATTTTCCCCTACAACTTCACATAATAACAGCACATGTGGATTATTCTTCATCCTGGTTATTTGACGGACCGTAAATGGTAACAAAGAAAAAAAAGGGGAATCAGGCAACAAACGAGAAGACACTGGAGTCTTCTACAGCAAGGTGGAGGGGGAAACAGATGTGACAAATCCAGACTCAATTATAGGAAGCAAATCCAAAGCAACTATACAAAGAAAACAAATGGGGAATTCCTGCTTTCTTTCTTAAGCATCTGTCCGTGAAGTCTTGACCAACTGGTGACATCTTTAAAGACAAAGAGAAGTTTTCATCCATTGCCAGCCCCCCAAATACATCTCACAAACAAACCTCAGATATTCACAGCCAGAGGATAGGGTTAAGCTCTAGAGTAACTAGAATTGCAAAAAACCAAAAGGTAATTACAATATCCTAAGTGATTTAGAAACTGAATCGTGCCCGCACAGGTGACAATTTATATCCCTGATGGCCCAGGACTGCCACCAGCTCCCACTACAGGCAGACAGTGCCAGAGCTGTTTACCGTGGGGGCACCTATTACCTGCTGCTGAAGGGAATCAGAGAGGACCTGCCACCAGCAATTAACAACGACTGAGCCTTAAGAAGTCACCACCTGTCATTTATCAGGTGGTGACAACTGGTAGCAGGCATTTTCTGGCTTACCCCAGTTGGGAAACAAATCAGGAAGAAAACAGCAGCGTCTATTAGATGCAGCACTAGTCTGGCATTAAAATCCCTGTGCTATTTGCAGGAGGGGGTTTAAAAATCTCTCTAACTACAAAAGTAAAACCTCTACAGACAGAGGAAATCAACTACTCCACATTCTCTAATGAATCAATTAAAAAAATAAACAGCAGGAGCCTGAAAAAATGAAAGCCACATATTTTGGTAAGTACAACAAAAATTTCATGCACTCTAACTAATAATTAGGGAAATACAGTATTTCCCAATGTGTGTCTTTTTTTTCTTCTCAATTCCTTCTTGCCTTGTTAACTATTAGACACAGAAATATAGAACAAAGTAAATTCTGCTAAACAAATACTGCTGTAATGTATTCACACTGAGAGAAAATAACACCCTCCGTATAACTAACCGTTACAATAATAAAGATACTGTAATTTCCTCAAGAACCATGAATCAGAGTTCCTGGAAAGAACAAGGTCCACAGACAGTGAAACACCCTATAAAATTTAATGCTCAAAAAGATTAAGTATATTCATCCTGTCATTTCAGCCCCCTAATACTGCAATGTAATACAACTAATGACACAGAAACAAGCAGCAACAAAGTGAAATAACTGCCCTTTTACAAAACACATTTAAGGTTTTCCACAGAATAATGAATCATCACAAAGCACACCTTTTCAATTATTTTTACTTATTATGCTATTATTGCCAACTTATTAACTATGAACAAATGTTAACAGAGCAAGGCTCAAATATGTCAATAAGAATGCAATGTGCCTAAATACTTCACAAAAAACACATTACTATGTACAGTAGAAAAGCCAGTTATTACTTCACAATAGAAGTCAAACATCCAGAATCACATCCTTGTAATTGCTCTACTGCTGCAGACATAGTAAAATCCAAAATACTTTCTTCTGGCCATGTGGCTGCCTATTGTGAATTCTTGTCTTTGTCTGAGGCCTACTTGACTATTTTTAAAAAACTTGAATTCTTTTTTCTGCTAGCACGGAATAAAAATCCAATCACCTTTACAAAAATGTTGTTTCTAGTAGTACCGATTCCGTGCCTTTGGCAGGAAGTTGAGCACACGATTCAATAGTCCGGCACCCTACTAATGTTAATCAAGTAGATTAAAAGGGAAGCACACAGACATCTGTCCAAATGTCAATCACAAATATTTTTCCTTCCTTCTGCCATTTGCCTAACTTGTAGCAGGATGCTAATACCTCAAGATTAAAAACAAGCAAAAAAAAAAGCAATAAAAAATAGATAGTAAACAATTTACCAAGTCCAGTAAAACAGCGGGATTCTGCCCAAGGAACTGCTGGTTTATCAAATGGCTGTAACTACTATCACCCGTATGTGCTCACCTGCTAAGGCTGTGTTAGCAGCAAGAAATTACTATTGGGACACTTGAGTGTCACAAAGCAAAGCCCTTACTCAAGACCTGAATTCATTCTAGAAAAACAGAATCAGCCTCTCCCTTGCTTCTCCCCTCCCCAGCCACTTCACTGTTAAGGTAATCTTCTTTCAGGGGTTAAAGAGATTAACAGCAGAGATTCAATCAGCACTTCAAAGAGAAAGACATTCAGAAATAAGCAGACAGAAATGTAAACCACTTTAATAACTGCATACCCACAAAAGAAAATTGGTGCAAAAAGGAGCAAATTCCTTAGCTTTCAAAAGCAAAAAAAATATAGGTGCAGACTGCAGTATAATTCTGTATATGCATTTGTGAGGACAAGTTAGAGGCATGAGGGAAGGGAGGATGACATAAATCAAGAGCGAGTAGTAAAAAATCCCTTACTGCCCATCCTGTGGGGGTAAACCCCCAACGACTTAGTACTGTTTAGTCTTTTAATAAATTGCTGGATAAAGAACAAAAAAATCCCTAAGCAGCTGGTGTGCAATGCTGGCTTTGATTATTCTGGTACTGCATTTGTTATCAAAAACGTATGTAACTGAAATAACTTTACACCTATTTTTATCAACCTTTGCCTGGCCAGCAAAAACATATTAAGGAATACATTTTTGTCATAAAAAGCTAACAGCTCTCTTTCTGACGCACGGAACTCTTTAGAAATAGATTCAGATGGGAAATACCTATTTGCACTGCAGAAGTCCATCTATTTAAAGAAATGCTGGCCCAAGGTATCTTATTCACAAGCCACTGACTTCCCACTAATCAGATCATTATTTCACACCAGACTCGTGTCTGAGGCAACTCTATTTGAGTAACTTCAGCATCTTGTTCTTTCTTTGAAACAAACATTCACCTATTGATTCTGATCACTGTGCCCACACATTTTGGGTGGGAGAGGGTGGCAGTCAGCTTGTTGGTCTATCAGGAAACCATGTTCAGAAAGGCATGGATTATAAACCCAGCTGTCTTGTTCTGCCTACTAGATGAAAACAAACCTATGTTAGAATGTTTTCAAGTAGAAATAGAAGCTCAAATGATCACTGTTAAGGACAGTTGAAGGTTACCAGGATGCCCACAGAAATCAACAGAAGAATGAGAGTACCCCAGGATGTAGGCATCAAATGAAATTTTAGTAGCATCTCACTGGATTTGCACTTTTTGGAGAAGTCGTATAAAGAGCAACAGATAATTGTCGTTGAATGCTCTACAAACATCTCAGACAATGAAGAAGACCCTTAATAAACACTCTTGACAAGATGAGAGCTCCAAGACAGTCAATGCTGCCCTCTTTATCTTCCCAACTCCTTTTTATAGCAGAGTGCCAGATGAGAGGAAAGCTTTGTTCAATAACAACTGAAAAGTGTGGCGAGTAAAGTCTTTGCTGGCATGTTTCTGCTTTCCTTTAAGGATGAGCTACCAGACCAAGAAAAACAAGTTTTTCTTCTAAAGCCCTTGTATCTTAGCATACTGACAAATTCCCTCAGGGTGTCTGCAGCCTTGTCCATCCAGCCCAGAGAGGTGGGTGTCACAAAGAATCTACTCCTTTATCTAATGTGTCTTTCTCCTACCAGTTGGTAGTTACAGAAGTCACTCCTTGGTTCCTTGGGACACAGGATTGTTAGGAGTGCTCCAATGAAGGTCTCCTTCTGGCATGAAGGAAGATTAGATAAAGTTTTCGTTGAACGAGGGGATTTCAGCTTGGCTGGATAAACTGTGTAGCAGCCACATGCCTTAGAGCAAAGCAGCCTGCAAATGCCTCTAAACACTGTGTTCCCTTTCCCCCATACTCTACCCATCAGCACCAAGATTTTGAGGGCTAGGTGTTAAAATCTGAAACCCTGAACCAAAGGGCTGGGAGAGGCTCATGCTTGTTTCACTTGCTGTAATGCATTTGATAACAAAACCCATTCACTATTAAAAAACCCAAAAACCCAAAACAACCAAACAAAATACATCCAATAAAACTGGTGTTTCCTTTGGGGGCAAACTGAATAATCCTCTGATCTTGCTCTTGTGTTACAATGCACCATGTCCCAGTCGCCTTCTGGAGACTTCATCTTGAGTAAGGCCAGGAGTGACAGTCACATGTAGAAGTTTCAATATGCCACAAAGGGAAGGATGCTCTAGGGACCTCCTCTCTTTTCAACCTCTCATGTAAACCGGATACTGTACCACAACTAAGAGGTACAGCAAATGAAAATCACTAAGGGAAGGGCAGTTTGCAACATTTTGATTTCATTACTTTTGATTACTGAAATTGTTCATAAAGCTAAAAAAGAGCACAGACATAATTTTTCACTACAAAGAGTAAGTCAAGTTAGAACAAGCAAATCAAGTCTTTTTCCAAAAGGATAAGGCAAGACTGCAAATATTTTTCCACCTAAAACATACAAAAATCCTCCAACTAAAAAGTAACTCCCCATACTACCTAATACAGCAAAATAATTTGAAGTTCACAAATGGCTAATAAAAAAGATGAAAAAAACATTGAAGATTTCCACTGATACAGCAGCTTCACTTCTCAGTGTTAGCATAAAAAAGAAATTGTTTCTGTCAAGAAAAGACATGCCTTCACTTCTGTGAAACAAATGCCTAGTAAAAAGGTCTTACAAAAAGGTCTTCTTAACTTTCAACTAAAGTAATGATTAAAAGTTATTAAAATTTTATGCAGTGATA